GTGAGCGTGGATGAACATTCAGTGACCGTATGGGGATATCACAGAGGCAAAAAAAAAACCCACAAAAAATACCTAAACATGATTGTAAACGTGTGAAGTAAAGCTTGCTTGTGTCTGGTTTGGAAACTCACACAAGTTTTAAGTCATGTATTTATATTTTTCCTCTGCAAAAAAATGTGGCTTTTGAATTTCAGGCTAAAGGATTGCACCTAAGAGCAACACACAATGTGCAATGCTTTCGTTTGCATTTGGAACCACCATAAATCAATGATGTCTCCATAGCAACACACTCAGCAGCATACATTAGCGTCATGTGCTGTGAAGAGGTTTTACTGCCCTCTAACGTCCAAATAGACCATTACAGTTTGGGTAGACTGGACAATAGCTTTTATACTACGTTTTAAAGGTGATGTCAGCAACTTGTATTGAATTTTGAATTTTAAAATAATTTACATTTATGACCATGTATTTTCCGACAATAATATTTCTGAAATATGGGACGGATAAAGGATTTCTTAATCCCTTTAAACTGGTCCATAACCTTAACTACGACCAGTAAAATGTACAGGAGAAGAGTTAAGACTATGACGATGGTTTAAAATTGTAATTATGACCAATCAGGAAGCTGCAGGGCGAGAGGGGGTAACCAGTGCTTATCATGCTCTCTCTTTCACTTTCCTTTCACAGTTTTAAAAGTAACTGACATCCACTTAAAGATGCCCTCAGCTCTTATTTCACACGTACACTTAATGTTTTGCTTCAATAATATCCCCATAGTGATGAGTGGGACATACGAAGACCAAGTGGATTCTCAAGTTATCAAAAAACGGCCATTGAACAGAATGTATGCCATGGCCTCTGACAATCATTGAGCAATGTTTTCTATAGCTCTCTATAGATGTATAGATATATATTCATTTGTATTATAGATATAATATGTAGATTTATAAAAAGTTTCAATCTTAATTACAAGTGGCATTTTCTTTTATACTCATTATTGCAATGGTTTGTTATCTAAGATGATTAAAAAAGACATGTGTTTTGCTACGCAGGTATTTACAACAGTTTTAAAAAGCAAGCTGTCAGTATATATCTCAAAGGAGCCCCGCCGTCACCACCCCGAATCAGAAAAACTACGAGTGCAGGCGGTACCAGTGGATCTCAAGTTTTCTCACTACATTGCCTAATAGAAAGCAAATATGAATGCAATACTGTGACACCAGCTACGTTCAAACCGCATGGAAAACTTGCCGTGTCAGAATCAACAATGTCAACAAATTTGCTGCAAAAATGATCAAAAAGAACATTTACAGGACTTGCTGGACTATTGAGGGCCTCTGTATAAAAACCGCACCATCTACATTTCAAAAGAAAGTACATTTTGTTACTAACCAGCTGCTGATGGAGCAAAACTCTGGTAAATCCAATCTATTTTCACAATAACATTCTGACTATAACTCGATGAAATCAAAAATAATAAAGGCCATGCATACACAGGCCTTATGTGTCTCTCTCTACTGTTCACATAAACACACCGGGAAGCTCAATGTGTGCAAGGTTATCGACAGAAGATAGAGCTGTGTCCAAATCCCTTCTTGCACACCAGGGGGAGCTCTAACAAAATAAATACACACACTCTGGGGCATTCGCTATATAGGCTGCAGGATTTTAGGTAAAAAAGTACCCGCTTTTTGTCCAGCAAGATCTGTACAACGACAGAAGCAGTTACTTTTATGATCTTGTCATGTGGAGCCTGGCCAGTCATCCTAATCATTTGTCCATTCATTTCGTTATACGTGAGAGAAAGCACCAACTGGCCATTTATGTGCGCAACTGCTCCAGGCTGGATCGGCCATGTCTTGGATATTTTAAGACGGGCCAAAGAAAACATTGTCAGTCTGTGTGAATGTAAAAAGACGTGGCATTCATCCAGCAAAGTAAACTGTAAAAAAAAAAGCATATCAACAATTCAATCCGGCCGTTTCTGATGCGGGCGTGAACATAGCTGGAAAATGTTTTATAATTTCCTCGAGATGCACTATTAGGTATAGCTGATATCTGCATGTGTCTTTATTAGTGTGTTAAAACGCTATTGTATACCAAAAGTGTGTTTTCTATATGTATCCGGGGTAGACTGAGGTTTCTCCTGTTTTGAATTGGCTGATGACCCCACTGGTTGAGAGAAATCATTTTCATATTCATAATAATTACATCGTTTGTATTAAGAAAGCATTGTTTTCTTCCCCCTCTTTTATTTCTCTTGGGACTTCATATTAATGGGAAACTAAAATTGTGCTGAATGATTATGTCTCTGTTGCTATTTCAAAGTATAGGCCAAATTTGTTGTGATAATTTCAGCTACTTTTGATTGGATTGTTTGCTATCTATCACCACTCTAGTTGCTGCTTAATATGAGGTCCCTTTAACTTCAAAAGCATTACCATTTTCCCCCGATGAAGAGTCGACTGTAAATAATCGCAGTTTTCCCACAGTCCACGCTTACAGTATTCTGGTCTTCTATAATGGTTCGTTTACCTGTATCGGTCCTTGCAGGCAATTCATATATCTCATGAAGACAACCGTGAAAATGGTGGAAACAATATTAGTCGTAATAAGGCGCTGTCAAAAGTTCGAACTTCACTAGTGTCTCTTTCATTTTTTTAACGACTTTCTCTGCTCTCTCGCATTTTCCGGTTTCGTGTTCCAGGTCTGTGCTGCTTGGCGTGTCGCTGTCGTTCTTTTCCCCGGAAGTAAAAATACACAGCAGGCAAGCGTGAGGGAAAAAAGTCGGCAAAGTTTTCTCCTGTTGATCGTCCCCGACTCCATTTCCGTTTTTCCCCAAAAGAAGTCAATGGCAGCAGGAGGAGTGATATGACGGTGTGCAATGTGTTTTTCGGGAGATATGCTTAAATACAGCTCTGGGTGGAAGTACACAGGAGACCACTGCAAGCAACTCTGACATAGAACCTGCCAGAAACTATTCCAGGCTCATTCAGGACAAAGTTATTCAAGGGCCTTTCTTTAAGCAGCTGATTTGTTGCCATTGCGGTCTTAAGTAATATTACAGAAATTCATTTGAGCAGCTAACAGCAGAAAATCTCTAAACGTGGAACGGTTGTATCAAATGTGTTCAATGCTTCTTCAAATAACAACAGAAAAATACTCTGTTTGAGCTTGTGTGATTAAAGGAGACATAACACCTCACAGCTTCTTATTTTAAATTTCTGAAAATCCAAACAGATAATTTCAAAGGATTTCATAAAGCAAGCTCATTCCACATTCTACAAGCAGTCTGATCTGGCCCACGGCACATCTGCCAAATACTGGTTTAGGCTTGTTTTCATTCACAGGTGGTGTAGTCCACTACTCTGGGTATTGCAAGAAATGCGCAATGTTGAGTTATTGGGGTATTTTTTCAAACAGTCTGATGTTTATGTGTGTTAGAAGTGGAGTTTTGTCTTTCCGGCCCAAACAAGACGACCCTCTGGAATAAACAGCACTTAAGAAAATTATGGTAAAACAAACAAGTCCTAATAATAATGATTTATATGATGTCAGATGAAATGTGGTCCCATCAAATACTATGCTCCTTCAGGTCAAGTTAGGCCCTTCCTTTTAGTAAAAAGAGCAATCATGTTTTACAGGATAATAAAAATCTAAATTTCATAATATTATTTGGGGAGGTCAGAGAAGCCAGGGCATGTATGAATGTCCATGTTATGTCTCCTTTAAGGTTGTATGTGATATAAGTATGATTTCCATGTTAAACCTTAAGTAGTTATTAATTGTACTATTAATAGTAGTTAGTAATTGCTCATTAGCTCCTGAATCCTTCAAACGTTTCCCCAAGTTTGTTTTCTTTAATTCATTTCTGTTATTGATTTTTGTCTTCTATATCTTAACTTTTCAGGGCTACATGTTTTGTCTCTTTCACCTCAAATTTAAGAGAAAACTTTACCATCTAATGGGCAAAGAAATAAGGCTGCTACAAGGTACATTAGGGATGCACCGATCCAGCTTTTCGGATTCCGATACTTTGTCTTTGAAATCTGCCGATACCAAACACCAGAGAAGGGAGTGAAAATAGCGCTTCTCTCCTCTAAAACAATTGCTAACTTATTAAAAATCCATTCAATCGTGTTAGAAACTAGCATGTGTAAGTAACAATAGAACTGCTCTCTCAGTAAAAGTTAAATCTGCTCTAACAAATACTCTTACAGAGACGAGAGGACTGGGTTGGTGTCCCTGGCACCGTCCTAAGTCATACCTTGAAGACAGGAAGTACTTTATGGAGATTGGAAACTGTGTCTCAGATCATATGGCCCTGACCTGCGGCGCACCACAGGGGTCCATACTGGGACCTCTTCTACCTTGTCCTACTGTATATTCCTGTGTTGTATTGGGCAGACGGGGCGACTGTCCTAATGCAGAGAGTGCCTTGTAAGTTTTTGTCCTTGAGCACTGTAATCCCAAAACAAATATATCTTTGTGGACAAAAAAGATTAACCTTGAACCTTGCTATGACATTCTGTGCAAATATCAGCCAGTAAACAGGCTAAGTAAAGGCCTAAGATAACACCAGAACCGATATCATTAAACCGATACCCAACCTATCCAAGAACCAAGCCCAATAGGGAAGTGCTCATGGACAAAGTCATGCTCCAACTTGCTCCGGCTCCTATTAACTCACATTATGTCCGATGCCAGTATTGTATCGATGCATCCCTAACTTCAATCACTAACATTAAGCATTGGTCAACAGAATTCCTCCGTATCTATCTTTCAATCCAAGAAAATTATATCCACAAATGCCGTAATCATTATCGCTTGGGAACAGTAAGACCAATCTTCCAAACATATTGCACTCGTGTTGCACAATCCCGCTCCCCCTTCACAGCACTGGGCTCCCGCTTCCCTCGTCCAGAGCTGCACTGTATGTATCCGTCTGCAGAATGTCGGCGTGTGGTGTCGAGTTAAGGCACGGCTGGTGTTTTTGGTTTTCAGGGCAGTCCAGAGGAGAGCACCGCGAGGCCGGGCTGTCGCAGGGAGCCGGGGCCCGCGTGCACAGCTTTGGGACAGTCCGGAGTCAGGACGCGCCCGTTCTCCCCCACACTCCCTGTGATGGACAGACGCGCCTTGTTTCGCATGGCTTCGGTGAACGTCAGCTGCGGAAAGAGGACACGTGATGAGGGAGAGGGGAAGCAGAACATGGCTTGGCTTGAATTCAAAGTATTTAAGTTTTTCAACCCTTTGAGTCACTATATCTACTTGAAGCTTGGAACTTAAATCTTCCACTTTGGGGCATCTCACTTGGTATTTGGCACTTTTACCATCAAAACTGCATCTCAACAAACTAGGGGTTCAAAAAACCCAAAATACGACAACCTAAAAACAACTTATTTGCAATATTAGTGCTCCTACATGTTAGGAAAAAAAAGAAGAAAAGAATACCATAGCTTTTTTCAAGGAGTGGACGTTAAATTGTTTAAGCCGGGGGACCTACCTTTCAAAACACAAAAAACTATTTTATAAAATCACTATTCTTCCAAGATCTAAGTTCTATCAGTAGTCTTCACATGCATGTGTTTGTGGTCTCTGTCAGATCTAGATCAGCTTAATTCAGAAGTGAGAAAAGAAATGACCACCCACTTAGCCAATCAGCTTCTTATTTTTTTTTTTATGGATTGGGCGATAAAATATTTCTGTTGGGAACCAAAAAGTATTATTCATTAAACAACAAAGTTTGGAATCCCAGCATTAAGGTCTACATATTTGGATTCTTGTCTATCTCAGAATCAGAATCAGAATCAGAATCATTTTTATTGCCAACGTAAGTAACGGGAGGTCACAGACTTGGAAATTGCTTTGGCTCAGTGCAACAGTCAAAAAGAGATAATAAAAATAAGAATAAAAAACACTTCTAAAGAATAAATTTAAATTTAAAATAGAGTTACAGTTACTATTTACAATATACAAGTGCACATGGTGCACACAATGTAAGGTGACAGCAGTACAGTGAAGTAAAGTGACGTATGATGGGCAGTAAAGTGACTTTATAAAGGGCGGGGGGACAGGTTAAGAAGTGTTCAAGAGTCCAACAGCAGAGGGGAAGAAACTGTTCTTGTGGCGGGAGGTTCTAGTCCTGATGGACCGCAGCCTCCTGCCTGAGGGGAGTGGTTGGAATAGTCCATGTGCAGGGTGAGAGGGGTCGGCTGTGATACGACCAGCCCGGCCTCGAGCTCGGGCGACGTACAGGTCCTGCAGCGATGGAAGGCTGCGGCCGATCACTTCCTCTGCAGAGCGCACAATGCGCTGTAGTCTCTGTTTGTCCCTGACTGTGGCTCCAGCGAACCACACGGTGATGGAGGAGGTGAGGATGGACTCGATGATGGCCGTGTAGAACTGCACCAACATCTGTGCAGGCAGCTTGGCTTTCCTGAGCTGCCGCAGGAAGTACATCCTCTGCTGGGCCTTCTTGATGAGGGAGCTGATGGTCGGCTCCCACTTGAGGTCCTGGGTGATGGTGGTGCCCAGGAAACGGAAGGACTCCACAGAGGTGATGGGGGAGTCCATCACGGAGGGTGGGGGCGGGGGGACAGTGCTCTTCCTGAAGTCCACAATCATCTCCACTGTCTTCTGGGCGTTCAGCTCCAGGTTGTTACCACTGCACCAGGACACCAGCCGGTCCACCTCCCTCCTGTAGGCGGACTCATCGTTGTTGGAGATGAGTCCAATGAGGGTGGTGTCGTCCGCGAACTTGATCAGCTTCACGGAGTCGTGGCTGGAGGTGCAGTGGTTGGTGTACAGGGAGAAGAGCAGGGGAGAAAGAACACAGCCCTGTGGGGCTCCTGTATTTATAATCCGAGAGTCCGAGACATTCTTCCCCAGACGCACTCGCTGCTTCCTGTCCGTCAGGAAGTCAGTGATCCACCTGCAGGTGGAATCGGGCACGTTGAGCTGGGAGAGCTTGTCCTATCTATTCTGGTTCCATAGTGTTTCATTTACTTTTTCACATTTAAAGCTAAAAAAAATTGACTTTTTCAAATGGTTGTTGAAGCCCATGACCCTCAGGCACTTAAAGCTGCGATAACAAACTTATTTTTTCAGAAATATTTCATGCTGTTTGTCCCAACAGATTCTTGTAAAAGTAAAATATTGTGAACAAATATGATTACGTAAAATTTCAAGAAAATTGACATCTCCAGTTGGAATTATTGCCTTCAATAGTTTGTAGAGTTTGAAAGTTAAGATACCTAAGCTTTAAATACATTGAGACAACAAAACATACATACATGAATAAAACAATACTTTGAACTCAAGTCATTTTCACATTTGAAGTGTACAGAGTTTGAGAGTGAAGAAGCGGATGAGAACAGGAATCATGCGAGTCAGTGCAGGCACAGAATGACACGTCACACATGGAGAAGGATTAGTGTTTCTGCTCTATTTACCTCGTCTGGTTTTTAATGGAATAGAAATAACCCTTATATTTTTGCGGTGAAAATGGATGATTTGTGCCCCATATCAGCCTGCAGAAATCTGTTCTCCAATAACCTGTTGTTGAATTGAATCCTTTGACTTATTGTTTCACATTGACATTGTTAGTCCCTCTTTTAAAACAATCCTGAGAATTTTAGGGTAATTTTTGAAAGAGACGGGAGCATGCACACATAGTCCAGTGCTCAGGTTGGAGACATCTGCATTTGGAAGGTGATCATTTGGAAGGTGACCATTTGGAAGGTGACTATTTGGAAGGTGACCATTTGGAAGGTGACCATTTGGAAGGTGACTATTTGTAAGGTGACCATTTGGGAGGTGACCATTTGGAAGGTGACTATTTGTAAGGTGACCATTTGGGAGGTGACCATTTGGAAGGTGACCATTTGGAAGGTGACCATTTGGGAGGTGACCATTTAGAAGGTGACCATTTGGAAGGTGACTATTTGTAAGGTGACCATTTGGAAGGTGACTATTTGTAAGGTGACCATTTGGGAGGTGACCATTTGGAAGGTGACCATTTGGAAGGTGACTATTTGTAAGGTGACCATTTGGGAGGTGACCATTTGGAAGGTGACCATTTGGGAGGTGACCATTTGGAAGGTGACCATTTGAGAGGTGACCATTTGGAAGGTGACCATTTGAGAGGTAACCATTTGGAAGGTGACCATTTGAGAGGTGACCATTTGGAAGGTGACCATTTGGGAGGTTACCATTTGGGAGGTGACCATTTGAGAGGTGACCATTTGGAAGGTGACCATTTGAGAGGTGACCATTTGAGAGGTGACCATTTGGAAAGTGGTCATGCCAGGTTTTAGAGATCTGGACACTAAAGGAGGATCTGACCAAGGACGGGATTCGGGAGACAGGTAAGACAAAAGGCAGGAGTGTTGTTGTCAAATTGAAATAGAGGGAGAAAGGACTACAGCTCGGAGAAGGTCAGACTGTTCTGATGTGCTGCTCCTCTTACTGAGAGCACTCGTAGAGAGCAGACCTCTGCCAAGAAGCTGTGTTATTTGTTCTTTCTGAGCTTTACTGATCTTGTAAAAATCTACTCATAGCTTATCTCGTAAAATATAGACTGTCTGTCTGTTACAGCAAAATAACTCAAGGACCCTTACATTACCCCCTGGGGGCAATGCCTTGATTTCCTATAGTTTTTTATGGTCATGTAGTTCTTTGCAATTTAAGGTGAAATTCCGTCCTTCAGTAAACCCCATGCATTCTTTGCCACATAACTTTTAAAAGATTCTTGGAGTGCATGTTTTTTTTTTTTATTCCTCTTTTAGGGAACTTTGAAAAAGTTTTTGCCTTAAACGAACAGAGCCTTTGAGAAGTTGGTCAGATTCTCGCTTCTAAATTGGTCCAAAGTAAAACTGAATTACCATCTCAGGCATGTTGTTGTTCTGTATTGATTTTCTCTGGTTTCATATTTTGAGCTTTGGGACGCAGAGATCCAGTGCATCCAGAGAGGATTCAACCTCCTTCACTTTTTCAACATTTATCAATGTTTCAGCCTTCAGGTCCTAAACCACAACTAACTGAGTCTGTGGTCTGGTGAAACCAAACCTTTGGAGGAAACTAGACACTGATGGTTTCATTCTGGAAGGTTCTCCCCTTTGCTCAGAGGAAGCTCAGTCAGAGTGACCATCAGAATCCTAAAAGACTTACTTTGTCATAATAGGATGTTGTACTGTAAGTGGATTGATAAGACAACATTCAAATACATTTTGGAACAAAGCTGTAGCCAGTTGAAAACTTTCTAGATGCACTGTAGACTGTTTATGTTGGTATTAAATAAAGTTAGTTTTGTTTTCTTATGTTTAATGCTTAGAAGGTTCTTTTGATAAGACACACATTTAAAGAAGCTAGTACTGCTCTATTTCCTGACATGTTTCGTCGGAGGACTTCACCTTCATCAGACAATCATGCAGAACTAGCTTCTTTACATTTTTGTCTAATTAAAACACCTCCTAAGCATGTTGCTGTCCGTGTCATCATAAGACATGATTTACAGTCTTCCGTAAACAATACATTTTGTACTTGAGATTCTTTTTATAATAAAAGTATTTAAAAACAATAATACTGCTTAATTACCTTCATGTCACACATATTTCTTGCTTCCGGATCTTTTCATAAGAACAGTCTCTTAATTTTCAACTCTTTCTTTGCACAACACTTTCAGTCCGATCCTTTGCTCCAAGAGTCGTTCTGCTCTAAACTGAGCAGCTATTAGTGTCACCTTTTCAATTCAAGAAAGCTACTTTTCCTTTTAATCCTGTCCCACGGTGAGATGAAGGCAAAGCCTCTCCATCCTGTTTGTATTGATTTGTTTTGTTTTTTTAACCAAATGGAACACAGCACTATGGCCCAGTGTCAAAAACGAAGTCAGCTATTGAGTTGTCAGATGCTTAGACCAAAGAATAAACTGTTTCAATACAACTTCTCACTTATAATCCCATAGTCAGACATTTACGTTTTGCATCGATTGCTGTTTGGAACGCCTTTTTTAACACTTATTTATCTAATTCAACTTAAAAATGTGAAACCAATACATCGACATATAACAAACAAAGTGACATATGCCTTTGTTTCTTCTAAAGTTGATGATTGTGGCTTTCAGTCCATTTTCACAATATTCAGATTTTCTGTTATATATTTACTAAACGGAATAAAATGTTTTATTTGGTTTGATTGATGTCATAAATAAAATAGCACAGTGGTGCAGTTGTGTAGTTTTCATGTTCCGTGTCAGCATAGGTTTCCTCCGGGTGCTCCGGTTTCCCTTATAAAACATGTACATCAGCTCCCTTCTCCGGACTTCCCTGAACAAAGATATTCTGAAATTTCAGTGGGACTTTCTTGGTTAAATAAATGTAAGATAAGATAAGAGAACTTTTATTGTCCCACAGTGGAGACATTTCAAGGTTTTACAAGCTGTGAGTTCATTATAAACATTAAAACAAATATAGGCTTGATCAAACTCACCGAGCTAATGATTCTGTCGTGTATTAGTTTCACATTTAAATACATACAGAAGTTTTATCTTATCTTAAATGGACTTTTGAAGTTATGCCTGTGTAATTAGAGGACACTTCATGTTTAGATTATGGTTTTAACTCTATTCTTTGCGGTGGAACCATGCTCTTTCCAGCCAATGTATGGAGTGATGCATGTGTCTGTATTTATCCAGTCAGCCAGGATGAAGCATCACCATCCACTATCATGATCATGTGCGAACAAGGACCACGGAGCCAACTCTGCAGACCTACAGCCAATCAAGAAGAAGCTACACATATTTCCAAAGCCTGCAACCCTCCAGACAATCTGAAATAGTGGTCTGCGTTGGTTCTGCGGTGCTTCTCGCTCGTTTGCTTGAACATGAAACCCCGCATGAGCGACACCACCATGACCCCACCTACTGTACGTCACACACACAGCTGCTAACTCCTACCCCTATATCTTGACCCCCTCGGAGCCGTACACGTTGTAGCCCTCCCTATAAGTGGCTAGGTTCTGGGTGCTGGGGGAGGGGCTGGGGCAGTGGGGGGGGCTAAGGTCCACCTTCATGCGTTTGGCTTCGGCCCGGGACTTGTAGCAGAACTCGACCAGGGCCACCAGCATAGCCAAGCCCAGGCCGCCAACCAGGATGTAGAAGACCCCCGCCACGTTGGACAGGCTCAGGGCTTGAGACGACTTGTCCTGGGGGGCACCAGCCACACGGGGTAAAAGAGGAGGCGGGACGGGGACGTGGAAGACAGAAGAGAGGACATAGTTACACAGAGCTTAACCAGGATAATCAAACAAAACTAACGCTACGGCTAAACTAAAGTGAAAGCTGATTTATTTAGCGTATGCACTGTATCTACACAAGGCATGCAGCATTACAAAACATAGCAAAACTTCACATAGTTAGAAGCAGCTACACCTCAAAAGTAGCTATGATAGACATTTACAACACAGTCAGATTACAAATATTGCATAAGAACAGCATCAATGCAATGGAGAGGGTATCAGGGGTGGATCTAGTCATTTTCACTTAACCACTTAATTCCAATGGGGGTCAATGGAAGCCTATTTACTTGAATGGAGCTCAAAATCTAAATCTCATGGTAAAACATGTGTTCTCATAGTGAGGTTGTAAAGATGGCCTTTGAAATAAAAGCATGGGAGTGAGGACTATAGCTGATGGTTCACATTTGTTTCAGAGAGGGTTTGTGAAGATGGAGGTGCCTCAGATTGCTACACAAACTGGAGTAATGTATGAAGTCAAAGATATCAGAATAGAATTGGAAGTCGTGCTGCATGAATTTGTGCTTTTTAGAAGCTTGGGTAAGAAAATGTCGCTCCCCAGTTTGGATCGGTTATGTTTACATGGGGATTTCAGTATATGCAGACAAGATATATACAACTACTACTACTATACTACTCTCCAAGGCTGAGTATTGTTAGTTTTGTATCTCCCACAATATTGCAAAATATAATGATAGAAAAGGCCATTGATGTCATTGTAAATTTATGCTGATTTGAGAAGTACTAGAATTTTACAGAGGTGGGAAACAATAGTAGTAGAAGTGCAGAACTTTGAAATCGGTCTGACCTGTGAAATAGGTTTGCATTTTCAGAGATAAAATATACATCTTGAATATAATGTGTCCGTCAAATATGTATAAGCTTTGTTTTAGTTTATTTTTGAGTTGTTCCTCGCCAATTCAGGATGGTCTAAAGAAAGTGAGGATCCAGAACATTTAAGGCATTTTATGCACAGAATTATTTGATTGTTAAGATGTATGGACATTGGTCATCCCTATGGACAAATGATCCTATGTGTTTGTTACTATTATAATCGACAACCTAGTGATGTCCTACGAGACTGTTGTGATTTAGGACATTTTAGAGGAAATGTGGAAATAGGGTGAAAATGTATACAAAAATACATAATGAGAAAACACTTTAAATTAGGCTATATAGTTCATTAGTCGGTTCCTTTTTCCTTAAACTAAGAATAAATATGAAATGAGAGGGGGAACAAAATAAGACTTTTGTTAAGGCAGCAAACATATTCACATCAAGTTATTGTGCTATTTTTGCAGTGAAAAAAATACTTCATTAGATGAACGGAAGTAAAGCTATAGCATCATTTTCAGCTTGTTTTGGCAATAACAAACAGATATAGATATAGATATAGCGTTTATGCATAAACACAAAAAATATATGCATGAGCTTAATAATAAATTTGGACCCATGTAGACCACTGATCCAAACGGGGGCGTGTACAGTGTATACCTCTACTACAATATAACATAATATATATATGAGTACAGTAATTGCAGTAATCTGGAGCGTTTTGGGGGATGGGCGTTCACAGTGGGCCGCAGCAGCGTGGCACTGACCTTACTTCCAGAGTCCTTGGGTCCACACTCTCCCTTGTCATACCACCATTTGTTTTTCAGTTTGTCTAAGACGCCTGCTTCGCTCAGTTTCAATACTGCAAGGTTTACTGGGGTTCTTCGCGTGTAAAAATAACATAAATAACATCATAGGACATGTTATTTTATGTTATTAGAGTATGTTACATTTCTTGCATTGCACAGTAGCATATAAATATAAATATATAGATATACATTTTGTGACCTAGCCTGGGTCCCACTGAGTACATGTGTGTAGGCTCGTTTCGGCAGAGGGGCTATGGGGGGGGGTTTGCGAGGAGCGGTTCTAGGCCGAGCTACAGACATATGAGTGGGATCCAGCTTTGTCACTGCAGGTAGCCACCCATGCTGCCCGGGGCGACCCATGCGGGAAGGGTGAGAAAGGGGGTTCACAGGGCTCTTAGCATTATAGGGCCAGCTCTGTCTCTGTAATCTCAAGGGAGAGGGAATAAAAGCTATCCAGAAATCAATAGATGTCTAGCTGGGTGATAGTTGAGTGGTTAAACTGTGGAGGATCGCATGACCTTTCCTGAATGTCAATCCCAGCATCCTTCAATGGTTTGGTCTCTCATCTGTGCTGTGAACTTACTAAAATATGCACCAAAGAAAGAATAAAGGGGGGGGACAAAACATATGGCTGAACTGAATAAAAAACTGAAACTGATTGCACTTATATTGATTGTGCGTAGCGCTATCATAACTCCAGGTTAACCTCAAAAGGATATGATGTCACAAATGGATCAGTTTTGTTCACTGGAGGATTGAGAGTGCGTTTCTCGATTAAGAGTTTTGGATTTCAGAATTTAAGTGTATTGGTTTTCACAGAGCTGCCACCAGAGGGAGAATGTTCCTGTTTTTTTACGAGACAGTGGCTGCTTACAGTGCAGGCAAAATACAAAAAAAAAGATTGCTATGTGTCTTTTTTAATAGATTACACATTGATACGCCAATTTTGTATTTTTCAAGCAAATCCAAACAAGCACAAGGGCTGTATCGTTGTCACTGTTGGTCTATACCTTCATTCCTAAAGGCACGCACCACTGACAGAAGATGCAACTTTGCGCTCATTTCCAGTTTTAACAAAAAAATTGCTTGTGTGTGTCACCCTTCCTCCCCATCTCCGCTTTCGTGTCCGCATTGGCACCGATGGGGCAGATGCGTGCGCTACTCTCCCCAACGGGACAGGCGGCGTTCGCGGGCCACACAAGGCCGGTGAGCTGCCCCCTGTCCCGCCCGGTGGTGGTTCTTGGTGGGGCAGTCAGAGAGGGCTAACCTTGGAATCCCCTCCCCCGCTGCCACATTCTCCTTTGTCATACCACCACTTGTTTTTCAATTTGTCCAACAGGCCCTGCTCGTTGAGTTTAAGCACGGCCAGGTTAACCGCGTTTCTTTAGGTGGGAAAACAAAACAAAAAAGGAGGAACAGATAAGATAAGTTTGGTCAGAGCAGAGGAAGGAGCGTGAGGATGGAGCACAGGTGGGAGACAGGGGGGGAGGTACAGGGGCAGATGGGGCACGGGTTACAGAAAAGGGTGGGAAGGATCCGGGGGCAAAGCTGTCTCTCTCTCTCTTAATGTGTGTCTTCAGGTCTAAAAATGGCAAACTCACTGACAATGCACGACTCAACACCTCTAATGATGAATTAAAGTCATGGGTTCGTTTAAAGCTGGGATACCTGACTTTCAAACCACATACAAATTATATCATATCCAACAGTTATATGCACAGTCATACATGCTTTTAGCACCAACCTACACAGACAAAGCAATCCAACTGGCATTCGAACCCAGGACCTTCTCCACTCAGCCACATATTTTATCTTGAAAGAAGCTTTATCCATTGCATTATTGTTATATATGATCTGCTTTACAACTGTGGCATCTGCTTCATCATATATGGTTTCCCCAAGTCGAGGGCAGGGGAAACTTAAAATTGAATAAAAACACACAATTTTATTAATCTATTGCAGTTACAGTGGTCCCTCACTATATCCCTTTTGCGGCCGAACTGCCTTGCAATGATACATTTACATCCTCATATGGATTTTCCAGCATACACAACATCATCATATACCTGCTTGTACAACATGACAGCTGCAGTAATGGCCCTCCGCTTCGTCCATATTTCATTCTGTGGTCATAGATTCAAAAGGTTTGCTCATCTCTGGTCTAATGCAATGCTAGAAAGTTGTGGATTTCAAACACTAAGCTGGACGAATGTAATTGTAAAGGTTTTCTACCGACCTGTGGCCTGATGTGCCCGGACCATGCTCTTCAGGTCATGTTGTGTGTTAAACAGCTCCCTACAGCCTGTGTGTATGTGTGTGTGCGTGTGTGTGCATGTGTGTGCGTATGTTCTTGCTCACAGCCCTGAAGCATGTGACCTCCAAATAGAATCCAGGGACAAAAGGCTAAACATTATTCTTGCTTCTGGTGCATATGCATAAGCTTTTCATCCCAGATTTTTATAACAAGGAATGAGTCACTTGCATGATTTGGCAATACTTTTCATAATTATACTAGTCATACTGCCGCAAGAAGACCTGCTTGGACTTAATGTCTTGTTAACTTTAAAATAGCCCCAGAGCCCTAAGTCTAAACCAAAATACCAGTCTAAAGCCAACCAAAATATGATAAAATGTGTCCTTAATGATTTATTTTAACTTCACTCATCACATAATATATTTGTATGTATTCAGATTTGTTTATGGATTGAACAAATTGCAACTTAAAGAATACATATTATGCTTTTTTCCCACACTGAACCTGATAATGAGACTATTTACTTGTCATTCCATGTTTTAGAATGAGAAATATTATCTTAAGTAGACAGTAAATAAACAATTCTCTTTTGCCTGTAAATAATTGTATGTTTATGTCAGTGTTACGCAACCTATTTTAGCCGTGGCACAACTACAATCACATGGAACACTTGTGCTGTGTGCTCCTCTTTCCTGCTATTCTATAACTTGTGATGCAACACTGAAATTGGTCCACTGTGGGACGAATAAAGGATCTCTTAATCTTAATCTAAACACCACCAGCTGAAACGGATACAAACATGAAACTGCAGCCTTTATTAACAATACAAAGTCAATCTCAAAGTATATATATATGTATATAAGCGCAAAAAAACTCTAATCTTCTGACATTATGTTCTTTCCACTTCTTTCTAACCACTCAGCAACAATCTTGTCTTGAAAGAATCTCACTCCATTGCATTGCTCTTATATGAAATGCTTTACAACTGTGGCATATGCTGTTTCCCCTGTAGTCTATAACATTGTAAACTTAAAAAGAAAAACAAACCGACACTGCTTTAACAAAATAGGAATGCGATTGCCTTGATCCACAGTCGCTCCCTGAGAGGACTTGTTGCAAAGGCGGTGTATGCTGCTGCTCTGTCTGTCACTCAGCCCTTGTTCAAACTGCTCTCTGGACAGCATCCATATGTCGCCGCTCTCTCTCCCTGGTGCTCTCCACTGTGACTACAGCGTGGCGCCGCAGGAACGCCACGCTTTTGTCAGTTGATTCCCTGCGTGTCGCTGGCTTTCTGCTGCTGCTGCGACCTGTACGAGAGTGCTGCCTTCTCTCCTTTTGTTCCTTCTGTGAGTCGGTATAATCAGCCGGGAAAATCTGGTCTGAAAGGTCAGTACTGTACATGGCTGTTTGTTAATCTTGGCCTTTGTCTGTGCACCTGCCCCATCTTCCCAAGTCTGAAGCAGCGACGGTGGGCTGCGGAGGCGCCAAGTTCACCCAAATCAGGAAGAACCAGCAACCGATGCAGGAAGTAAGGCCATCTTCACACCAAATAAGGACTGTATATAAGTAGACATTGCTAACCCCAAAGATATGAGCCGTACAAGCGAGTATACAGTATGATGTTGTATATGTTGGAGTATCCGCATGAGGAGGATGCTGTATAAAATATATGTGAATGTATCATTGCAAGGTACTGAGGCCACAAAAGGAGTAATAAAATAGTGTGTTTTTTTAATTTAATTTCAATTTCAAGGTTTGACCAATCATATGCCTTCATTCGCAGGTGAAACTCCAGCTTGCCTTAGCAACCATCATAGCAACACGTCCGCCCCTGTTACGCCGCTAAGCTAAAGCTGTTGGAACGATTGACCATGGAAGGAAATTGGCTCCAGCTAGCTTACGTTCAAATTTGGCTAGTACTATATATAAATACTAATACATGGTCAAGCAGGGGCATGTGTATTCTGCAAGAATGGAAATGGTAAATTGGTCCCTCAACGCAATTGATTCTATCTTTTCAACACGTAAGCGTGGGTCTGGAGAGCCCGTGTGCCCGGACGGGACTTCACCTGCGGGGTATACTCTTGACAGCTGGAACAAGTGGCAGCCCCTCTGTCTGTCGACCCTGTCCATTGAAGATTCGGAAGACGTATATATCTTTGGCTTTTTGGTGGTGGGGATCCTCCTGTTTGGGTTTGGAGCGGTTCTCTTCTACCACAAATTCGGAGGCATGGCAGTTCGCAAGATTCACGACCTGCTGGCCGACAAAATTGATGGGATGTACAAGGAGCTTAACCGAGTCGTGATTGAGAGCGCTGTGGCTGGACAACGAAGAGTGGTGTTAGTGGAACAGTTGATCAAAGATCTCGCAGCTCGTTCACTCGATGGGCATAAAACTCTGGAATTGAGATTGAATGACATTGTGTGTCACGCTTGAACTCTCTGACCCGGCTTGGATTTGCCCCTGTGTACGGGGTCTGAGGGCGCCGTAATTCGGTTTAATTGGATTTAATAGAATATCTGCCTGTTGTTGACTGCTAAAATGCATACTATATTGTCCCTCGTTACAGGAAGATGTGTTTTCTCCTTGCTGTGTCTTCTCCCCACTCTTATCTCACATTCCTCGGGCCAAGGCCATAATAATAAATCTGGTCTCTACAACAATTCACACTCTTTCAGTCAGTTCCAGCTTGGATCCCGCTCCCCCCGCCTCCCTCTGATCTCTCCCTCCCCTCCACTCCTCAATGTGTTTCCGACTCAACCCCTCCCTGACCCCGCCCCCCTCTGACAGCCACATTGGACCGGCAGCCGGAGGTGCTCATCCCGAGAAAAAAATCCGTGGTTTATACAAAGCACAATGTTTTCTATCCAACTGTCTGTTGTAACCTGAATGTTATTGCTCTCTGCTGTTTATTCTACTGTTTGTCGCATGGCGCCGGAAAGATGGCGCCGTGGCAAGAGCTCTGGTGTGTGTCGCCTTCTCTGTCTGGCGCACACCGGGGTAGTCTTGCACAGTTTTTCCAATGTGGTTTTACTGCAAATGGCAAATAAATGAATCTGAATCTGTATCCAAATAAGGAATAACCAGTAACCAATACAGGAAGCTTTAGGAAGAAGTACTTATTTGTAGGTCTATGACGTCTACAGTAATCAGGTGGCACCATTTAGATATATGCATTTAAAAATCTACTAAAATCTAAAAGTTGAACCATTCCCTTACTGTGAAAGTATATTACAAGCTTTATATGTACTAAACTAAAATACATTTTTGTTGAAGTATTGAACATGTATTTATTTGAGACGTAAACACCTAAATGCTTCATACTGACAGAGAATATACAATAAAGAAAACTTGTAGCTGAATGATTAGATGAAACATAGAAGCGTGGCTAACCTCAATTCTTTAAAGGATAGGCCACTGTTTTTACATACTGACATATGTTCTCACCTTAGACTAGTTGATATGTACCTGTCTGGTCTTTGTCCGTGTGCTCTGTCATGCAAACGCAGCACAAACGCAGCCTCTTCCACAGACTGTATAGTTCCAAATCTACTACTGTCACGCTGCTTCTATCGACGGAAGTGAGCGGGGGAGAAGTCTTTAGGAGTTAGTGTGCAGACGAAGTGCTCCTTGTATTATTACGCCTCACAATATAGTACCCCTTTTTATCCGCTGAGAAAATCGACACGTTACATTTCTGTGTTACTATACTTGGTAGTGTAACACGTCACGTAACTGTATTTAAATAGGGAACACGTGGAAGAGTTTGGGAGCTTCTAACGGGAGCTGATTTGGTACTATACAGTCTGTGGAAGAGGCTGCGTTTGTGCTGCGTTTGCAAGACAGAGCGCACGGACAAAGACCAGACGGGTACATATCAACTAGTCTAAGGTAAGAACATGTGTCAGTATGTAAAAACGGTGGCCTATCCTTTAATATATGTAGGCTTGGACCACTTTTTATGTTGTGTCGCAATCTACGAAGAAACTGGTCTTATTAATTAAACAGTATTGTGTAGGAATGATACCAGTAAAAATGACTACAACAAAACTACTACTTATTATTAAATAGAAAATACTAGTTACTCGCACCTCTGACTAAATGCAATCTTGTTATAGGGAGAGGAGCTCAATTATTTTTTGTTGCATATAAAAAGCAAAGGAAACGCAACAGATTTTTTTGTTCTTTGAAAGCAAAAGCAGCATGAGGTCCGGACTATTTTTTTTAGCACTTGTATATTTTAAGTTTTAACAAAATGACAGCAATTATTTGTTCCAAAGGCTCGTCAAGGCTTCAAAAGCATAACAACACTGCACAATTTGTTTTCAGTGTGTGCGTGTGTGTGTGTGCATGAATCATGTGTGTGTTTGTGTAGGTGTGTGTGTGTGCGTTACATACCCACGCACACACACACACCGATCTACACACACACACATGCACACACTCACACGCACACACTGAAAACAAAATGAAATTGTAGATGTGCAATGTTGTTATGTGTGTATGTGTGTGTGTGTGTGTGTGTATGTGTATGCAAATGTATTTGTGAGTGAGTGTGTGTGTGTATGTGTGTGTTAGGGTGTGTATCTGTGTGTGACTGTGTGCATGTGTGTATATTTGTGTGCAGTTTGCGGGTCTTGTTTTGTGAAGCCTTTTTTAATGTCATATAGCAGAGACATAAATGTTTTAAGTTTTATCGTTATAAGCAGTTGTGATTCTCAGATTGGGAAAAAAAATGAAAATGCATTTTTATCTTATATATTAATGTTTTTTTGTAGCTCACATTGGCGCGTTGAAGCAACACTTGGTTAGTGTGTATCGGCCGCAGACATAATAACAGTATTCACTTATGAGAGCTGCAGGGAACACTCAACACTCAACTGCAGTGATGCAAATTTGAACCCACACAAACACATCTGATTAAATTTTCTTAATATATCAGCATCCAAATTACCCTAAAACCTTCTTCAATGAGCCAGCTGACAAATAAGGATCATAATCTCCCACAATTACTGGAAACGCAAAAACCATGAGTCATTTCTACTTGCTTCTGTTTCAATTGTCCCCAACTGTGCCATTTTGTCGGACTTAATTATAAAAAAAACAAGATTTGGAACGAGAGAGAGAGAGACAGTTTTCCCGGGATCTCATCTAGTCACCATGACAAATCTCATTAACTAAAAGAGGTGCAGATGGAAACAGTCCAATCATGAGCCATGGTAAAAACAGTTAAATATCAATAATCACTTCAGCCAGGCAACATTTACTCAGAAATCATCCCAGCATTCATACAAGTACACAAACATCAACAGATCATTTTGTGCTGATTAGCGCGCGGAAGAGGCAGCGTCACCTGCCATGCACACCTGGTCCGTGGGCCGTTCCGCTGGAGGAGAGGGAGAAGCCAGAGACAACCGTGGACAGTCCCGGTAATGCTGCGGTAAAGAGGGGGTGGTCCGAGGTGTGTGTAGGGGCTATCCGCGCGCTGTCTCTGGCTTTTCTCTCAGTAACAGAACAGCCGCTGTCTGACGGGAATTTTTGGTTTTGGGGAGCGGGGGAAGTCGGCACTGTACACAGGGGAATGTTACAGGACAGGATGGTTGTGTGTTGGGAATTTGATGAGAATGATGGAGGGATATAAGAGAAGTATAGGAAGCCCTTTTGCCTTATTGCTGGAGGAACTAAGGATTTCAATGAGGCCAAATCTGGTTCATCTATTCACTACCAAACATATTTTATTTATGTAATTTTCTTTTTTTCTTCATTTTTATTCTTCACTCTGTATAGCACTGGATGTAGATTCGTTTGACAAAATATCTGTATCTGTGAATTTGAACTCTTCAGGTAAACAGGACAATTTTAATCGTTCTTTTATTGAAAGCCTGCTTTTCTTTTATCTGTTGGTTCCAAAGCCTGACGCTGAAGGACAGAAACAAGTTACAGAGTGTTGAGAGAACTTGCTCCAAAATCACGGGAGGAAAACTCAGGGACCTTCACTCTTTGACGGAGGAACAGGTGCTGAATAAAGCAAAATGTATTCTGGCTCAACCCAAACATCCTCTGATCGCTGACTTTGTATTGATTCCTTCAGGGCGTCGCTTTTATGCTCCAGTGCGGAAAACAAACCCCGTTTTTCCAATTCTTTTGTACCCTCAGCCATAAAACTGTTGAACTCTGGTAGAGGTCTTTGACTTTTGGGAATTGTGTTGCTCAGTGTTGTTTTTGTAACTTATATTGTGTAACCTGCTGCTGTGGGAACTGTGAGACTCACTGTGTGTTGCAAATGAATTGCCCTTTGGGATCAATAAAGTTTTCTGAATCTGAATCTTAAAGCTAACCCAGACCCTTTTCATTTATGTATCTGTGTGTGTGTATGTATCTGTGTGTGTGTGTGTATGTGTGTATGTATGTATCTGTGTGTGTGTGTCTGTGTGTGTGTGTGTGTGTGTGTGTATGTATGTATGTATGTATCTGTGTGTGTGTGTGTATCTGTGTGTGTGTGTGTATGTATGTATGTATGTATCTGTGTGTGTGTGTGTGTGTATGTATGTATGTATGTATCTGTGTGTGTGTGTGTATGTATGTATGTATGTATCTGTGTGTGTGTGTGTATGTATGTATGTATCTGTGTGTGTGTGTGTGTGTATGTATGTATGTGTGTGTGTGTGTGTGTGTATGTATGTATGTATCTGTGTGTGTGTGTGTATGTATGTATGTATCTGTGTGTGTGTGTATGTATGTATGTATGTATGTGTGTGTGTGTGTGTGTGTGTGTATGTATGTATGTATGTATGTGTGTGTGTGTGTGTGTGTGTTTGTGTATCTATCTGTGTGTGTGTGTATGTATATATGTATCTGTGTGTGTTTGTGTGTGTATGTAATTATGTATTATTATTATTATTATTATGATTTTTTGTTTTTATACTAACTTTTTTTGTTTGGCACAATGGGTGAAAATATGTAAAAAGTGTGTCTAATATGTTTCTTGAAATATGCTTTGATCATGATCTCAGCATTATTGAGATGTACTGTGCAAAGACATAATAAAGTATTGGACAGCTGAAGTATAGTCAACGATATTGTTTTAATTAGTGGAATAACAAATTGTGGAGCCTTTTTCTCACAATTCTTCTCTAACAAAGCTGAAGAGTAAAAAGTTGAATAACCAGCATGCTCTGGTCTGGTTCATATAATTATACTTTTACAAGATTATTTCTGGTGACAGATAAAAAGAAAGAAAAATGTTGGACCCCCAGCTTTAATGAACCTATAATTCTATTGCATTATTATTGCACAGTTGTTTTTTAAAAATTATATATTTATCATGGCAACAAATATGAAGCCATGTTGCGTCATTCTGGAAATGAGAAAATTTTGTTTACATTGATTACATAACATTTTGATTTTGTTTAAGTGTTCCGTTTGTTCAATAATATGAAAAAGTAATCAGTCTTTCTATATATAGAGAGAGCCAGAGTTCCTAAAGACTTCCTAAAGGCAGCGTCTGAAGCAACAGGGCACCTTCTCTTTCCATCCCTCCAACTCTGTTCATTCGTCTCATTGGTTAAGCCATGGTGGTCCCCCCCTTTCGGCCAGGCCCCTCAGCGTCTTCCTGGTTCTCTGTTAATTCCCCGTTTGTGGCCGTGAACACAGTGGCATCAGCCGGTGGTACTGGCCCTCCCTCGCGCTCACTCAACTCATCAACATCATCATCATCACTTGCTGTTGCCATAGTAACTGATGCTGTACACAGGATGGCGGTGATTGGAGACAGGACAGATGGACACGTTACCTGCGCGGTGTCTCTGTGGAGAGAGCTTTGAGTGAGAGCACACAGACACAGGATGATCGGAGCAGACAGGAAGTACGTCCCAATGGCCTGGCGTTCAGCCACGTGGGATCTAAGGCGACCGTTCCAGGTTTATTTTGCTGTTGGAAATGCCTTATGTGCCGGTGTAGAATTGTGGCTTTTCTAATCGAGATGAGATTATTTACCAGGAAATATTTATTTACTTTTCATGACCTACTTTTTTGAAGACATTTTTGGCTTGTCGTAAGAAGTTTTGGCACATTCAAACTAAAGTCAATTTTTTCCCCTGTTGGAAAACCTGTTTGTGCATGTAATGAAGAAGTTACCGCAACTGCCTTTGCCTTGGACTTTTTTTTCGAAGTCAATTGAACTCTGCATTTATATATTTATTATATCTATTTTGCTGAGAAAGGGATTTGGGCAAAGCTCTATCAGCTGTTGATCTCCAGAGCACACATTCCTGCTTCCCCCGTTTGTTTATGTGAACAGCAGATAGATGAGGAGGTGCGGAAAAACACATAGGACTTGTTTTTATGTGACAGGGAAATTATCAAAGCACATTTTAAGGATTATTTTGACTCCATCCACATTTAGTAGCTATAGGAAGCAAGTTTGTCAAAATAGATTGGATTATTGGAATGATAATCATGGGTCAACAGAGTATTAAAACATCTCATCATTAAATCATTGTTGTTTCCAGTAAAAAAACGGTTGTTCATCGTCTAAACACTTTTCTCCATCAGCTGTTGGTTAAGTGCAGCCAATATGTGGACAAAATATACTTCTTTTTCAAATGTAGCTACCGCTGTTTATATATATATAGTGTGCGCTTAAATGTCTAGCAAGTACTGTGTCAAAAATGTCTTGAAAAAAAAAAACATAATCAAAAGCACTAAACAAGTCAAAAACGACTGAAACTACTAATACTTATCCTCTGGCTATGACTTGACACGATTAATACAATGTGTCATTCCACACATTTCTGCCACTAAAAGCTAAATATCGGTAATATTTTTGATGAAAGGACACTTATTGTAAACATGTAATTGTTCAATATTTGTCTATTTTGTTTGGGATATTAAGATTGACTTTTAAATACATTGTTGCATTCTTCAAGTAGCCTGATGGCCTGAGGTCCACCAGAAATCAGTCTAATGTAACTTATTTACAAGCAGATTTCTACTCGAGCGGGTGCAGTAAGAGGCGAATTAGGATGTACCGACTGGAGGATGAGTGAATGGAAACGCCACGATGACAGAAGACAGTGGGATGGCGCTAACGGGCCCCTATACTGACACAGAGGTCACACACAGACTGGACAGGACAAGACTCAAGCAGGACACAACAAACACATATACTTATCTGTCACTGCACTGCTGCTAGGTCAGACCAGACCTGCCAAACATGTGCCCTCAAAGGAGACATCTTATGATCATTTAAAGTATTTCAATTGTTTAACTATTTGACATCTGGTTTGCAATAAAACGTGTTGCATTTGCATTTAATAAGCTATTCTATGCATGTATGTTATTCACTTTAGAATATTGTTATGCAAAGGCTGTATATTTACATGAGGAAATGCATGGACGTGGACGAGGCATATGATATGTTAATTTTTCAGCACACTTGAGCCGCAAACACAAGAATTACTCAGGGATGCTTGAGTTAAAATATACCAAATTATAACAACAATAGGCCAGTTACAGTTATTACTATCCTTATACTATATACAGTATATGGTTAATATATATATATATAAATCATATATCTATATTTTCCATTTACAGTCCCCAGCATTAGGACAGAAAGGGGCAAAATGTCGTTTCAGAATAGTGCCCCTACAGACAGGGATTGTCTTTGATCTTAATCATGCAGCTAATATTATATGTATGTTATTGTAACCGCATCTATGTATTATAATAATAAGAATAATGGAATGTTTTGAAGGCTGTATTGTAAAACCTCTGCCAGGACATCCTTGGAAAAGATATATTTGAATCTAAATGGGATTTTCCTACTCAAAACATAATTATAATTTCAATTGTAGTGTAGGTAATTGTAAATGATATAATTCTGTCTCTTTTAGTGAGTGTCAAACATGCGCACTTTGTTGTTGTTAACGTTTATTAAAATGTATTTACTGATGTTTGTATGGATGGCTATGTTCCTGCAGCTGGACACCTGTATTGTAAGTGTATCCATCAATAATCATTATAGCTCCATAGAGACAAAAAAGTGTTTCAATCCAAGAACATATGTATACCATTTTCCTTAACATAATATGCCTCCTTTAAGACAAACTAAAGTAATTGCAATCATCTGAACTCCTTTTTGACCATGTCTCACGTAGCAGCAGTGACATGCGGGTCAGACAGTTGCAGAAAAGGCACAGCAGGGTAGGTGAAACATCGCGGCAATAGCACAGCACCATTCGCGGCTGCTGTGGCCCATTGTCGCAGTGGTCCACCCACCTTAACTGAGAGCCTTTGGGGGTGGCGATGCCGTAGCCTTTGGAGTCCAGGTTCCCCCCCACTTTCATGGTGTCGCAGGGCTTCCTCTGCTCCGTGTACTCGTTCATGGTGGACTCCAGGAGGAAGGCGTACTTCCCCTTGGACTTGCGCACTCGAGCCACGCCCTCCGCCGTGGTCTTGGTGAACACCGTGGGCTCGGCCGACTTCATGTACGACCACATTTTCTCGTACACGGCGATTTTGGACCGCTGTAAACAGAAGAGGGCAGAGCAATCAGTTGTTGTGATTGTTATATTGTAGAAGTCAACCAAGTAAGTAAGTAATCTTTATTTCTATAGCGCATTTTACAGACCAAGGTCACCCAAAGCACTTGTCAGGGCTCCTGTTCGTGCTCTACCATCAACAATAAAACATGTCTTCTTTCTGAATTAAAGACACAATCCCAGACTTTGTCATCTTCATCACACTTTACAATTGTTGAGAGTTCAGATGTTTTTCCATTCATGCCACACAAAGAGATGTCACTAACGATTATTTTTTTTCAGGTAATCGATCAACCAAATTGTGTCCAAAAGAGAAATATGTTGTTATGTCTAATTTAAATATGAAGAAAAATATTTATAATGTAAGAAAAGAAAAGTAATTGGTTTAGTAAAAGTGTAGGTTTACTTTTGAAAAGCAAAAAAAAGAGCCTGTGTTTCCCCTAAAAATGAAGAGTAGATCCTGGTTGAGACTTTAGGAGCCTGAGAGACTGAGAGGAGGACTTTTAGCGACTTAAGAGTTCCCTAAGAGGTCAAAATGGCGGATGGTCGACACAGGAGAGATATTTTACAAACACTGGATGACAATGGGGCCAAATTAACCTCTCAAAACACTTTTATGCTCATTAACCAATTGAGCCAGAAGCAAACACGGTTCCTCTGTCCAGTTGGGTTTCCTCTTTCTTATATTCTCCATTGCTGTTCACTTGTTTGTGGTATATTTGGAAATCCACCAACACGGGTTCTTATAGGCTGGTCAGCAATTACAGCTGTGCCATTTTACCCTCGTTACACCAAAGTCAGTAGAAATGGTACAAAGTTAAATATTGTAAAACTGCTGCTTTTACTAAATGTGTCAAATTAGTAGGTCTATCGAGATGTATGTATTTTGAGACTTTTCTGATCAAAAGCGTGATCGTACAAGTCCTGAGTAGAGTAGAGAGAGAGGTTATAGCCTGGAGGCAACCCCACAACACAAATGAAGCTCAAGCGGATGTTCAGACTGAAAGACCGAGTGCCTGCCAGCCTCGAGCCTCAGCCAATCACACAGCTCTGCCAGCCTCGAGCCTCAGCCAATCACACAGCCAGGCCAGCCTCCTGCCAACCCTCTCAGAGCAAAGCGGGCAGTTTAAAAGGCAGCCACTTCCTGACAAACAACGCTTCCTGAGGCTCTTAAACAACCATGGGCATGGTTCTCTGACCGCCGCTGCTGCCGGTCCCTGCTGCTCCTACTAATGCCTGTTCCCTGATGCCTGCTCCCCGTTCCTGCTGCTACTACTGATGCCTGCTCCCCGTTCCTGCTGCTACTACTGATGCCTGTTCCCGCTGCTGCTCCTACTGATGCCTGCTCCCCGTTCCTGCCGCTCCTACTGATGCCTGTTCCCGCTGCTGCCTGTTCCTGCTGCCGCTCCTGCTGCTCCTGCTGCTCCTACCGCTGCCTGTCCCTGCTGCCTGCTCCTGCTGCTCCTACTGATGCCTGTTCCGCTGCCGCTCCTGCTGCTGCCTGTTCCTGCTGCCGCTCCTGCTGCTGCCTGTTCCGCTGCCGCTCCTGCTGCTGCCTGTTCCTGCTGCCGCTCCTGCTGCTCCTACTGATGCCTGTTCCGCTGCCGCTCCTGCTGCTGCCTGTTCCTGCTGCCGCTCCTGCTGCAGCCTGTTCCTGCTGCCTGCTCCTGCTGCTCCTACTGATGCCTGTTCCCGCTGCTGCCTGTTCCGCTGCCGCTCCTGCTGCTGCCTGTTCCTGCTGCCGCTCCTGCTGCTGCCTGCTCCTGCTGCCGCTCCTGCTGCTGCCTGCTCCTGCTGCTCCTACTACTACACGTGCCGCTGCTGCTGTTCCTGCCGCTGCCGCTCCCAGGCTGCACCTCTCTACGACTCGGCTCTTTCAGACACGTATGTAACCTGGCTCACAGAGACAAGCGGCGCACGCTGGCGTGACATGGTCTGTTTGCCCGTATGAATCGCATTGTGGTTGCGTCGTACGTGCTTGTCCCGGGCCCGTGATTGTCCCGTGCCATCGTTTGTTTGGGGTCTGTTCCTGCTTTGACCCGCTCTGATCTGCTCGTCAGTGCTTATTGGCGCCGCTCCTTAAACACGTCCAGGCTCCGTGTCACTGCTGCTCAAGTCTCCTCCGTGAGACAGTTCAAACTCCAGCGTGCTTGGTGGCATGCAAAATTACATTTTGGAGTCTTCCCTAATCAGTCTCCTTCTAAGGCCCGAATTGTTCGTATTAAGGCTTAATGTATCGGTCTCCGAGGCTTAACGACATATTGCACGTTCAGGGTGAATAGGAATCTGCAGCTCTGGCGCCTCTCTGATTTGGTTGCTCCCTAGACAAAGGCCTAATGTAATATTGCTCGCTCAGGGTGAAGAGGAATCTGCAGTTTTGACGCCTGTCTGATTTGGACGCTCCCATAAGGTGAAGAAAGTGCGTTTAGCTTCATGGCCCTGTCACGCGCATAATGGCGTATGTGAATGCATGTTGTATAGCAAGGCATGGCAAGTTTATTTGTATAGCACAATTCATACACAAGGCAATTCAAAGTGCTGAACAAAATAAGAAAGCATTAAAATCATAGATATTCACAGAACATTAAAAAGAAGGATAGAAATATATGTTTGACCTTGTCTTAAACATTGTCAGAGAGGAGGCCTGTCTCGCATCTTCAGGAAGATTGTTCCAGATTTTAGCAGCGTGAATCTGAAAGGCAGCCTACCCACGTTAGTTCTGACTCTGGACACTAACAGGTGTCCAGTCCCTGTGCTCCTCAGAGTCCGGGCTGGTTCATATGGGACTAACATGTCTCTACTATATGTTGGTGCGAGGCCATGGAGGGACTCGACTTGTATATGTGCATGCACATGTAGGTACGTAGTATACGTGCGTGCATATATATTATGTATATGTATATGCGTATGTGTTTTATAGTCTTAAGCTCGCTTCGCTCAGTTCTCATCAGGGCTGTCTCTGCTCTCGTCAAACTTTCCTTAGTTTAATCGTAATTATGATTAGATGCTTTGCAATGAATGAGATGTGTGTTACCTTCGCTGGTCGTCGGGCTATTCCGTTACAAGACAACCTGTTCCAACTGAGGCCAAGGGAATCTGGGTTCGTAAATACTTATTCGGTGTCGTCCATTCTACTTCAGCGCAGCCAATATAGACGTGTCGTAACCCGTTCTGAGATGTTGTTGTTCCCGGTCGGGCTCGAATCTCCGCTAATCTGTAGCTAGCGAGACGACAGGAGGTCGTCATCAGCCAACTTCAGTTCTTTCATAGTTTGTCCTAAAGTTCGGACCAGTCCAATGCGGTTTCGCCTACGTGTCGGCCCCGGGACTAGTTTGGCGGACTGAAGCGGCCCTCGTACTGAAATCCTCGAGCCCCCTCCGTGTACAGTAAATATTGCTCATAGGGACGCGTTGCCCCAGGTCATTAGCAGTGTGTTTCATTTTATCCTGAGCAGGCTGGCGTCGATTATCAAAAGTAGTTTTATGCTTTGTTCCACCTCCGTGCGGAGTTTTGCATGTTCTCCCCTCGTCCGGCCGGTTTGCTCCGGATCCTCCACGTGCTCTGGCCTTCCCTCACTGCTACCGCGTGCAATTGATCCGCCCTACGCCTCATACGGGCGATCTCTCTCCGATTCTCCGCGTGGAGTCGGGGGGCAGCATCCACAACGGTCACATGCTCTCTGCCGCACTCTCATGGCTCTGAGTCATCGTAACGGTTGCTCGCTCTACTGCTCGTTCTCAGGTGCCGCTCTGTTCGTACTTATTCTGCTCCGTGGCCGCTCTTTGCCGTCGTTCTGAGTTCCTAATTGCATCAAGATAGCTCTCTCCTGTCCAGAAGGAGATTCGGTCGGTTCTTGTTTAATCTCTCCCTTATGTTGCAGGGCGCTCTTGCTGCACGGCCGCGCCTTGCGAATTATTCTCGTAGCAATAGGCCCTGTCATTCCCGCGCGGGGCATGCCCTTCCTACGCGGGGCTCGTCCATCTCAAGCCGGGCAGGCGTCTGGCCGTCACACTGGCCACCCGGCACACGTGATGACCCTCATCGAAGGTTTCGTAGATGCTCCCTCAGCTTGGACATGGAGAGAGAGGGGATAGGAGGAGGAGGACCAAGGTCTCTTGGTCCGTCCTGTCCTCTGTCACGTCCCAAACAGGTGCTGCTCTTCCGGCTGGGCCGCCTCATCCTCGCAGTGCACGTCATTCCTCAGGCCGTGGTTCATCCCCAGGCTCCTGCGCGCTCTGCAACCCTGTTTTCCTGTTCGCAGGTGCTGCGCTGACCTCAGCTTCAGCTGCTGCCTGCCGGAACGGCGTCTTTCATGATGGCACCGCCTCTTCCACTTACTTATTTCTTTTTCACGGACGCGGCTCAGTCCGTGGGTTTTTGGGGGTCATATCAAGGCCAGTGGTTAGCTGCACCCTGGCCCCAAGGACTTATTACCCCTATCACTATAATCCCTGCATTCAACACTCCGAAAGGAAGGTGCCGTCACACTTTCATTATGCATTATTTTTCCCCTGTCCAGATAAACACCTGATGAAATGCACTCCTCCATGCACGGAGAGGAGATTCAGATGGGCTGCTATTTCTCTCTCTGTCAAATGACGTCATGTTTGCGCAATGTATCCAAGCCCATTTAATAAATCCGGCCGGTCTCCTGTGATCTCCCGATTCTCCAATACCGGCCGCTGGATTAGAATAGCCGCCGCACTCCAGCCTGCTGGGCCTTCCTCACTCTTCCCTACAGCAAATGGGTCAATGGTCCACGGCTTGGTCCTGCCTCATCCTCTATCAGACTAAACACTGACACTATTCTGACTGCTCAGCGCTCCCTCTTCAATCTGAGGTAATTATCAAATACTCTGGTGGTGGCTAAGGCTCTTCTCTCACATAAGCATTCTCAACATCGTTGCACTTCAATCCGGACATGCATATGATCACCTTGTCTTACATCATACATTCATGCTCACCGCAGCGCTCTGTGCAGAGAA